AGAGGAAGAGAGGGAGAAAGAAATTGAGAAAGAAAGAGAAGTAGGAGGTGGGAGGGGAGAGAGGGCAGGAGAGAAAGAGGGAGAGAGAGAAAAAAAGAAAAGAAGAAAATAGATTCTTTGATGTGTTTGATCATATTGAAAATTTTACAGGGTCAGACAGGTTGAGGATAGATTGAAGGTAGGTGCAGAGATAACACCAAATTAAATAAAGAGGCAGTTATAAATCCCAGGGAAAATAAAAAGCTATACAAGAAAGGAAATATAATCATAGTAAGCTACAACTAAATTGTGAGGCACTGTGCAAAAGTCAGTCATGTAAATATGGAATACTTCCCAAATCATAATTTGTGATACATCTAGTTATACTGAGTATGGTAAGGAAAAAGAGAGACTATGTGAAGGGGGGTGGGTTTTTTTGTGTGAGGGTAGTGGAAGTGAGCTAAATCCTTGTCTTCTAAGGTATCAAATAATTGAAGTATTGGGAAACAGCAGTTTATGGAGATAAATAAGAGAAAACAACTTAATGAATTGAAGCAGCCACCTCTGGGAGGCAGAATTAGAATGGAGGAGACGAAGCAGGGGCTGTTCTTTCTCATCATGAGCCTTAAAGTACCATCTGACTTTCTGAACTATGTCACGTATGATTTGGATAAAATAAACAATATATGTTTTACAGAAACTAAACAAAGGGGCTCCAAGTTTTTAAAGTTAAAGGAAATGTATCTTCAAAGAGATTTCCATGATGTCTGTGAATATAAGCACTCCGTTCTTTCTGTGGAGATTTTATGGCTACTGCACATGAGATCCAACAGATTTTGATAAAATAAAATTGAAAGGGGAAGACATTCTGTAAAGTATAAGCATACACAGAATCATTATGATATACGCAGCCACCCACAGAAAATACACAGATAAAGAGGAAGGTAGGAGAGTGTCTATGACTTATCTAGTCCTATGATCACAACTAAAGTAGTAAAAATTAACATCACATTTTGGAAATGTTTCACTTTCCACTCTTGCCTGTAGGAATTATTCTTGGGCTCTGGGTATCCGTGTATCCTTCCTTGACCAGCCAGTAGTCATTTGCTTTTGTTGTACTTCTTTCATAGTTGCTCCATTGTTTTTTTGTTTGTCAGACACAGTGACAGAGTTTGCCATCCCAGCGATTTCCTTGTTCCACTGGCTCAAGATAACCACCTCCTATCAAAGGATTCTTTTCAGACTTGCCTTTCCAGTTCTTCTGTTTGATCTCAATAGCAGCTCTGTGTTATTTGTGCTAACACTCTCTCCCCTGGAGCTGATAATCAACTCTAAACATATTTTGGGGCCAAACTTTGCTCAGTGTCATCAAATGACTTATGAAACATCCTTACATTTAAGACACAGTGTTAAGTACTATGCAAAAATTAGCAAAAGCAGAGAGAGAGAGAGAGAGAGAGAGAGAGAGAGAGAGAGAGATCCTGTCCTTGAGAAACAAGATCAGGAAAAGATAATAATAGACACAACCAAAGTGTGTTCTTGTCCTTTCAGTACAGAAACACATATTTTAACATATATTTTAAAAACTAGCGTGCAATAGCAATTCAGAAGGTCCAAATACATGATGAAGAGAGGTTCCAGAAAGTAGAAAATGAGAAGAGGGAAGGGAGAAATGATTATAACCCAGAGAGGATGTGAAAGCTTATAATGGTGGAAATTTCATTAATACCTTTGTTGTCACTGTTTTAGCTGATTTTCATAAAAATTAAGAGAAGACTGTAAGGAGTGAAAAGGGGACACAGAGGGAGAAAGGAAAAAAGAGTGAGTGTGGAGAGAAAGGGTTTGAACTACTTCCTAAAGCATGGATTCACAACTCATATATGTAAATGAATAGAAAGTAACGGTATCACTGCAACCCTACTGGCAAATTGGATATTAAGGATTTTTAAAACAAAGAATTAGCAAAGTGTAAACCTTTAAAAAAAAATAGGGTAGGTATTTTCCGTCCTTAAAAAAGTTTTTTTTTTCCCCTAATGGTAGAATTAAACATACATGTATAATGGGACCTTTAAAAAATTCAGTAAAGTATAAAGAAAAAAACATAATAATAATAATTTTACCAACCAGAAATACCATTCTTAATATTTTAGCTATTCAGTATTTTCTATACTTATTTAAAAACACAATTTGGATTGTTAACACACGAACTGTTGTATGATCATATTTCACTCATATTATGAGGAGTTCCACATGATTAATCATTCATTAATAGCATGATTCTCATGTACATCATTTATTTTTCCAAAATGTTTATTTTGGTCCTAATTTTCCACTATCATAAGTAACACCATGAGCATAATCTTTCTGTCTAAATCTTTGTTCAATTCTCTAATTATAAGGAATAATATGTAAATTCTCAGAAGTGGAATTTTCAGATAAAACATTCACAATTTTGAAATAAGTTTTTTTTCTCTCTTTTTGGCTCTCTCTTTTTTGAAACTTACAGGAACAAAGTGAAGTTCTATTCATTTCTGAGAGGAATGGCATTTTCTGCAAATATCCCAAATAAGTAAACATCTGTGTAAGATAATTATCTCGAAATAAATATTCTCATGTTATTGGCTTTTGTGCTCAAGTCATTCATTAAAACTAAGTGTTGATCATGGTCCTTGTGGCCAAGAAAGAATGAAGTGAATTTTCACTAGCAACAGCAGAAAACAAATAAGAACCACACCTGTGTATAATTATATTTTCGATCTTGCCTGTAATTCATGCTCGTATTTGTAATTAACTATTCTGAGAGCTGTGTCAATACTCCTCCACAATCAGATAAAAGCAATGAAAAAATGGTGTGTTTGCAGAAAGATATTCACATGTTTATATATGTATTTTGAAGCTTGTTTCAAACAGTGGTGAGTTAATATTTCATTAAAAAGCATACTTTTGCTTGATGGTTCTTTATGAGGTTAAGAAGTGATTATTCTAATGGGGAAGATTCTGTCCATCCTGAAAGCACCTTGTGAGATGAAAAAAGAGGAGGAGCCCATGAATTTAACCCAGAAAAGCATCACTTTTGTTTCTTCATCACCTGACCGAGCCCTTTCAAAACAAGACCTCAGCAGCTCAAGGCTTCCGTTACTCATAGCCAGGCAAGCACAAGGACCCGAAATAAGCACCTTCAAAATTCATGTTCCAGCAAAGACAGGAGCTTTGTCCCAAGGTAGCGAATTTCAAAAGATATTTAGTGAGGGTGGGGAATAAGGATGGATCACACCGTGCCCACAGGTCTGCAGATTTGGAATTAATCATCCTTGGCCTGGCTTGGAGGAAGTACTTTACTGTAGCCCGTTTGAAAAACAGTGGGTGCAGAAGCACAATTTGTATTAAGATTAACAGCGGACCATTCTGACGGCCTGTGATCTCATAAACCTCTGATGGGCGTCTGGGCTACAACATCCCTGTGTATTGCCTCTGTTTCTGCCAGCTTCAGAAATTAATACTGAAATGTATAAAATGTTGCATTTTCCAATGGTATATTTATTTTTAATGAAACCAAGATAAAGTGTAAAAGTTCACATTTCAATGAGGTTTTTCTACCTGCTACTGACTGCAGCTGATGTAAAGCAAGCTACATTTTTATTTCTCCAGACAGAATTTCTTTAGAGCTGGTTGGCATGTGCAGACAAGAAACCACTGTGAGGTTTTGGGGTTGGAAGCACTGTGAAGGACAAGAATCAAGCCACAGAGTCCAGGCCTGTCTCTGCAGGCCAGCACCATCTCCAGCCCTGCAACCGGCATCAAGCTTGGGGAGGTGGGGTGGGAGTGGGGCGGGCACACCAGGACGTATGATGCAAACAGCATCTGGTGATGCAAGATCTCCCTGCATTACTTTGCTGTGTTTCTCATGCATCCCACTGTGGCTGACCAGTTAAGCACTAGTTAGAACCTGTTTGCACACGAGGGTCCCTAAAGCAGAGACTTTTCTGCAAAATCTCCAACTGCAACACATCCTGAGAGGACTGAGGCACAGAACTGTGCCCACACAATTGACAGCAACTGGCAGTGAAATGATGGCTCCTGAATTCACCCACGTCAGGTCAGGTCAGTAGAACAGGTGGCGCATTTCCCCATTTCCCCTTTTCTTACAGGCAGATAAAGTGTTAAAGGAGCTCTGGCTGTGTGGCACACTGGTCAGGGTGAGGAGGGCCAATGCTTGTCAATGAGCATTCATTCTCTACTGGTTGCCACTTATTTTCACCACGGATCCCTGACAGCCCTCCACCCCTCCACCGGGATGACATGACGAAAGACAGTAGGGAAAAAGACTATTTTGATACAGCACTAAGGGATACTCATCATTACATTCTCCTGAATCACAGCCGAATGATTTGGAGAGGTTTTACTGCACCCTCAAGCCATGAGGTTGAGACAGCTTCTAACTTCCAGTTCACCAACCAATGCTGAAACACCACGCGGTCAGACAAAAAGCTATTCTTCAACTTCACTTTGAAAATACAGAAAACTCTCCCACCTTTGAATACCAAGAATCCAAATTTTCATGATTCATAATTCAGTTAGATGGAGGCTTTTTCAGGACCTTGCAAGACTGTTGGCAGAGATCCCTAAATGCTCTGACCTTCCTACCACCCCAGCCCAGGACCAAATGACCTAGGAGAGAAGGTACAGGAGGCGCCCCGTGTTCTGTCATGTCGCCTCTACAGCCTGCCTTCCTAGAATGAGCCTTTTATGTAATTTTTGGTTTCTTTTCTGCTGCTCGGAATAAAAGGAGTTTGGTTCCTAGGCATTCAAATACAGGAAAGTCTACTGTGCCACTTTTTCTGTCTCTTAGAAAAAAAGGACAAAAAACCCCCCAAACAAACCTGGCAACTACATGAGGATGTGTAAGAAGGATTTCTGCAGGTAATTAAGCCTCGTATCGCTGAAGCCTGGAGTGCATCGTACACCGACAATCTGAAACGCACCGCGAGAACTGCTCAAGTGTGTTCCGCTTTCACACTTACCTGACCGTGGGATGGAAGTGCCGGGTAAGCCATGGGCTGGTTCATCACTCCCTTCTGCTTCATGAGAAGCATGCGTTTCTGGTCCTCACTCAGGTGGGCCCTGGGGGCCTGGAGCTGTGGGGGTGGCTGCGGCTGCGGCTGCGGCTGCGGCTGCGGCTGCTGGATGTAGGGCATCAGGGGGGTTTTGCTGGGGTTGGCCATCGGTGGTGTCATCCTCTGACTCAAGTCTGCGTTAAAATGGGTCAGAGGCTTCGTGTTGCCATAAGTCAGAATATTGTGCTGTTTGTTTAAGGAGTTTGTACCCAAGTTATTTGGCTGCTGATTGAGCATATTTATGTGGTTCTGAGGGAGGTAGTTATTCATTGTCGTCTTCTGCAGGTTGTTTGCCATTGGAGGCACTATGGGGTTTTGGTTGTTAAAGGCTTGGGGGTACATCATCGGGCTATTTGGTTTTTCCGCAGTGAAAGCTGCCCCGTATGGACTGGAGGGAGGCCCTAAGGGGGACCAACTTGACGTCTGATTTGAGTGCTGCTGCTGCTGCTGCTGCTGCTGCTGCTGCTGCTGCTGCTGCTGCTGCTTCTGCTGCATGAGTTTGGCCCTTTGCTGTTGCTGCGCCGCCATCTGCTTGAGCTGCTCTGCTGGCGACAGGTCGGAGCCAGGCCCGGCCACCGGGCCCGACCCCGAACCAGCCCCCGTCACTGCTGCCGCCGGATTAAGGAGATAACCATTTCCCGGCCGAGGGGGAGCTTGGCCTGGAGTGTGGGCTTGGTTTGGAGTTTGAGGGGACTGGACTGCACAGTTTGCCGGTGAGCTGGCGGGGTTTGGAGCTGCGGGAGTGCTGGCAACAGAAGGTAAACTGGTGGCCGTGGAGACAGTAGAAAAGGGAGGACCAGAAGAAGACGGCCTGGCCTGGGGAGACCCCATGGAGACATGTGTGAAAGGAGAGTGACATGGGTCACTCTTCACGCTGGCGCTCTCCTGGGACAGGGGGGTCTCCGTCGCTGGCTGCGAGAATTCTGGCTCCTTCTTCTCTTCAAAGTCTTCGTTGAATAGGTCCTGTATGTCATCTTCAGGAACCGTGTTGGCCAGTTCATCTATCAGTTCTTGCCACTCCTGATCATTCAGGTTAATGTCCGAGAACAGCTTGTTCTGATTTGAAAGAGATGTTTCTGATGTGTCTATGCAAGTAGGGTCATCTAGAGGTTCTTGTTTGAGGTCCTTGCTCTGCAAGATGGTGAAGCTATCCTCCAGGTCACTGCAACCATTAACAGGAAGTTTAATCTCTGGGAGCCTCCCATTCTTACTGAGATCTTCCAGAAGCCCAGGAGTGTGCGTCCCACTATTCTGCAAGGGCAAAGAAGGCTTCAGGTCAAGTTGGTGAAGAGGAGAAGCTGAAGGCAGTGGCATGTTGGGCAAGCTGTTGATGGTTTCCAGCCCCGTGGGAATGTCCTTTCGTATTCGCTTGCTAGTTGGAGAAAAACTCCCATCGCAAGCACCATTCTGCTGGTCTCCATTAAGTGGTGATCGGGCTCCTTCCAACTTCCTTTTCACAGTCTCCTGGAGCTGGAAAAGAAATGGAAAAGAGTGACTAAACTTCCAAGGCATAGTTTACTCTTTAAGCATGGTTGTGTGCATGGCTATGAACTAATTTTTAAGTGGTTTAGAACACATCAGAAAGTTACACTTCAAATTTCAAAGTTGGCTGGGCTTCAATTCAAACTCTATAGGAAAAGATTTTATCCAAAAGCAGAGCTCACATGGCTAAGAGATAGAAAGCGACTAAAGATTCGAGGGTGGAACAAAAGAAAAAAATCAGTTAAGGCAATACTTCTCTTATAGGGGAGAATCATCTATTATTATTTTTCAAATGAATACAACATGAGACGTGGACCAAAATGTGTCATATTTAAGAAAGATGTTAATATCCATCTTAAATTCTTGTCACATCTTAATTGAGAACATCAAGAAATTAAATCAACAATATTCTAAAGAACACTAAAAATCCTCTAAGAATATAGAATTTAACACATTTACTGAATAGCATAGAAATGAAGATTAATGGTTAATGGAACCTGAAACTTCCTTTTGGTTCATATTTTACTTGACCTCCCAGCACTTCGTGATACAGTAGCCTGCTCTGTTCTAAACAACTGTATGTATGTTCCTACGTGACTGAAGTATTGTACACCAGAAATTGACACAACATTGTAAACTGAATGTACTTCCATAAAAATATATTAAAATAAAATAAAAGCACACTTCCATTGGTTTCAATGATAATTGGTTTCAATAATATCCCACTTTCCTAGATTTCCTTCTTTCTCTCCATCTGCACTCGCTCTCTCTCATGTATTCCTCTTTTGTTCCCCTAAATGATGGGATTCTTCATCATTTGGTCTTCAGCATTTTTCCCCTGCCCACTCTACATGCCTGCCTAGATGATTTCATCCATTACAACAGCTTTAACTACCTTCTTGAGGCTGATGCACCCACAACAACGTGCCCAGCCCAGCCTTCCCTGCTGAGTTCCACTAACTCTGCCATTCTCTTCCCTTGATGTTTCACGGGCATCTAAAACTCAACATGTCTCAACTTTGAGCTAATTATCTTTTCACCAATTGTCCCCCTCTCAGGATCTAGCTGGTTACCCAAATTGGAAACCTGAGCTTTCTTCTTGAAATGTCTCACATCACAATCACCACATCATATGGATTCTGCATCCAGAACATTCTCTCATATGCCTGCTTATCTCCAACCTCACTGCTACTATCCTAGTCCAGGGTAATCTTGTCTCTTGCTAGATTGTTGCAACAGTCTCCTAAAAGGTCTCTGCCTTGCCTCCACTCATCCATCCATTCACTCTCTATCTATTTTAGTCATTGTTTTGCTCTCTATCAATCTATTCTCTGTACGGCCACCTCCTTCAAAAATTATATTGCCCTTCCTGAAATTGAAGATGGTACAAATAAACACAAAAATATCCTGTGCTCTTGGATTAGAAGAATTAATATTGTTAAAATGGCCATACTGCCCAAAGCAATCTATAGATTTAATGCAATCCCCATCAAAATACCCATGACATTTTTCACAGAACTAGTACAAATCCTAAAATTCACATGGAACCATAAAAGACCCAAAATTGCTAGAGCAATTTTGAAAAAAAAGAACAGAGCTGGAGGCATCACTCTCCCAGAATTTAGACTACACTACAAAGCTGCAGTATTCAAAACAGCATGGTACCGACACATAGGATCAGTGGAACAGAATAAAGAGCCCAGGAATAAACCCATTAACCCACGGTCAATTTATGACAAAGGAGGTAAGACTACACAAGGGAGAAAAGACAGTCTCTTCAACAAGTGGTGCTGGGAAAACTGGTCAGCTGCATGTAAAACATTGACATTAGAGCATTTCCTCACATTATATGCAAAAATAAACTTAAAATGGATTAAAGACCTAAATGTTAAGACCTGAAACCATAAGTCTCCTAGAAGAGAATATAGACAGAGCACTCTTTGACATAAATCATAGTAATTTTTTGTATGTGTCTCCTAGGCAAAAGAAATAAAAGCAAAAATAAACAAATGGGACCTAATTAAACTTAAAGGTTTTTGCATAGCAAAATAAACCACTGAAAAAATGAAAAGACAACCTACAAAATTAGGAGAAAACATTTGTAAATGATATGACCGACAAAGGGTTAGTATCCAAAATATGTAAACAGTGTACACAACTCAGTATCAAAAAAAACAAACAACATAATCAAAAAATGAGCAGGAGACCCGAATAGAAATTTTCCAAAGAAGACATACAAATGGCTGATAGGCACCTGAAAAGATGCACAACATCACTAATTATTATAGAAATGCAAATCAAAGCCACAATAAATATCACCTCATACTTGTCAGAATGGCTATTACCAAAAAGTCTATGAATAACAAATGTTGGAGAAGATGTGGAGAAAAGGGAACTCTTGTAGACTCTTGGTGGAACTGTAAATTGGTGGAGCCACTATGGAAAATAGTATGGAGGTTCCTCAAAGAACTAAAAATAGAACTACCATATGATCCAGCAATTCCAGTCCTGAGTATATATCCAGAAAAAATGAAAACACTAATTCAAAAAGATACCCCCCCAACCAATGTTCACAGCAGTACTATTTATAGTAGCCAAGCTATGGAAGCAACCCAAATGCCCATCAATAGATGAATGGATTAAGAAGATGTGGTATATGTACATATGTGTATATACATACACACACACACACACACACAAAATGAAATATTATTCAGCCATAAAAATGAATGAAATCTTGTCATCTGTAGCAACGTTATTGGACCTAAACAATATTATGCTTTGTGAAATAAGTCAGAGAAAGACAAATACTGTATATTATCACTTGTATGTGAAATCTAAAAAAATAATACAAATGAAATATATGCAAAACAAACTCACAGACATAGAAGACAAACTAGTGGTTACTAATGGGGAGAGGAAAGGAGGGAGGGGGAAATTAGGGGTATGGGATTAAGAGATACAAACTACAATATATAAAATAGATAAGCTATTTTATATATATAAATAGATATAGCCATTATCTTATCATAATTTTTCATGGATTATAATCTGTAAAAATACTGAATCACTATGCTGTATACCTGAAATTAATATACTATAAATCAATTATACTTCAATAATAGATATGTATTTATCTATATGTTATTACCCTTCCTGTTTATAACCATGCAATGATTTCCACTGTCTTTAGATTAAGATCCAAACTACTTCACCTGGCTCCTGTTCATCATTCTAGGCTCATTTTCATGCCTCTCTGCTGAGCATCAACTCCCCAGGCCCTGCCAAACATTTTCTATCAACTCTCCTGAAACTCCTTCAGTTTCTTAAATGTGCTAAGCTTCCTTCTGCCTCTAGGCCACTGTAATGTTGTTTTCTTTCCTTGGAACATACTCGTCTCCCTCCCTCTCCCCCTCCCCTGGTAACAGCTACTCATCCTCCAGGTTGTGTCTTAGATTTCACTTCCTTTAGGAAATCTCCTTTCATCTCACATCCTTTCCCCAAACCAACTCCATTAGGCACCTCCTCTAACCAACCTACACTGGGTTAGAAATCTTGGAGTAAGTTTTTCCAAGCAACATCAACTTCCCCATCATAGCTTCTGCCATCCTTTGGGGCAACTGCTTAAGTGTCTGTTTAGCAAGCTCTAAGGTGGCAGGGGCTATGGCTGACTTGCTTACTGTGTATCCAGGGCTGCATCCAGTGTTCAGGTTCCTAGCACTGGTTAATAGATGGTGGAAAACTGAATGATTCTATTGTCTAATTCACAGGGGCTGAAGGAGGTGAGTTTGGATCAGAGCAGGAGGCAACTCCACTGACCACAGGGAATGCCTGACTTTGAGATTCTACATTCCTGGTAATGGGATCTCTAACCCTGGAGAGTGTTGTGCCCACTTAAATGGACTCATTTTAAAAGTCCAGTTAAGAAAAGTCTTGGTAACACTATGGATCTATTAAGTCCAAACCTAATTCATCTGTCTGCCCCCTTCCTTTCTGCCAGAAAGGGCTAATTCCTAGGGCCCCAGTTGAAAGAGGTTGACATAGGGGAGGTCCTGATGAACTGCTTGCTGGATGGTGACAAAGGGAAGACAAGGTTGGGTTAGATGGAGGTTTCAGTAGCTTTATAGAGTTGAAGGCACAGGGTAGAGTGACATGGTGGGAAGAGGAGGCAGAACAGCCCCCTACTCGTGCACTCGCCTGTTCTTGGCAGATGTGCTGCGTATCACAGAGCGCGGAAGAGAGGTGCGGGCTCCCTCTGACCCTGCACTTCCGCACTCACACGCGGACCTGCTAAGGCTCCCGAAGAGCCCTACATACAGTAAGCCCAATCCGGAGATGATGTGGGGGATTTATTGCTATCCTCTCGTAAGTCGAGCATTCCATTTCAAAACTAAACAGAAAAGGTCCTTAAGTAAAGACCCAGTCTAACCCTTGTTCCTAAATCTTATATTTTAAATCACAACACCAAACATTCTGCAGTCACTTGGCAGAAGCCCCTGAATTGCTGAAAACAAGGCCCTAGCCAGGACACACTGGAATTTGACTTCAAAGAAGATACTGACTCTATCCATCCTATTAGGTAAAAACTGCTAGAAAATTACCTTATTTATTGAATAAACCAGGAAACTGTGGTTCTGATCATAGGTACGGCAGATACTTGAATGTAGCTCCAACACACAGTGGCAAGTTCAGATATCACAGCTTCAGGGTCTAAAGGAAATAATGTTTGGGACCCTTGGCACCTCCTGAAGGGATGTTAACCTTAAAAAAGTAAGCACTTGTCTTAAAAATGAACCCGATTTTATTTTAAAAAGTACAAATCCACGACTCTGTTCTAGGTCGTGAAATGGATGGGGCAGAGATGGAGAAAGACAATGCTCTATTTGTTCTTCTGGAGAACAGTGGTGGCCAAGACCATGGAGACAGACAGGTCTGACTGGGAACCCCAAGTCCCACCTCTTACCCACAGAGCAGGCCTCCATGGGTGA